TATTTCACTGAGAATCTTTGCATCAATGTTCACTAGTAAGATAGGCCTATAGTTCTCCTTTTTGGTTGAGTCTTTCTCTGGTTTTGGTATCAGAGTGATACTTCCCTCCAGGAATGATTTAGGGAGGATGGCTTCCTTTTCAGTTTCACTGAAGAGTTTAAGGAGTACTGGCATCAAATCTTCTCTAAATTTCTTGTAGAATTCAGCCGTGAATTCATCAGGACCTGGGCTTTTCCTTCTTGGTAAGTTTTTAATTACATTTTCAATTTCATAGCTGATATTGGGTTATTCAAAATTGCTGTCTCTGCTTGGTTGAGCTTTGGTAGTTCACGTTTCCAGAAATCTGTCCATTTCCTCTGTGTTTTCCACTCTACGTGAGTAGAGGTTTTCAAAGTAGGTATTTATGATCTTTTGAGTTTCCATGGGATCTGTTGTAATTTCCCCCTTTTCAGTCCTTATTGCGTGAATTTAGTTTTTTTCTTTCTTTTTCTTCATAAGGTTAGCTAGAGGTTTGTCAATTTTGTTTATTCTCTCAAAAAACCAGCTTCTTGATTCGTTAATTCTTTGTATTTTTTAAAATTTCAAGTATTGATTTCTGCTCTAATCTTTACAATTTCCTCTCTTCTATGAGCATTGAGGTTTAACTTACTCTTCTTTTTCTAGAAGCGTGAGATGAAGCATTTGTTTGTGCTCTTTCTGGGTTTTTTTTTTTTTTTTTTTTTTTTTATCTTTTTCTTTTTTATCGGTACTGGGGATCGAACTCACAACTGCCTGCTTGCAAGGCAGGTGCTTATGCCGTTGACCTAAATCCCCAGTCTCTCTTTCCGTTTTCTTGATATGACAGTTTATTGCTATATATTTCCCTCTTAAGACCACTTTCATTGCATCCCACAGAATGCAGTATGTTGTTTCTGCATTTTCATTGAATTGTAGGTATTGCTTTATTTCTTCTTTAATTTCATTTGTAGCCCACTGGTTGTTCAAAAAGTTATTTAATTTCCATATATTTATGCAGGTTTTGCAATTTCTTTTGCCATTAATTTCCAATTTCAATGTGCTATGGTCAGATATTACACATGGGATAATTTTAATACCTTTGCAGTTACTTAAGAATATTTTATGGGATTATGGGATAATATATGGTCTATTTTGGAGAATGTTCCTTGCACAGCTGAGAAAAATGTGTGTTCTGATGTGGTTGGGTGTACTCTGTAAACATCTACTAAGTCTAATTGCTCACAGATGTGATTCAGTTTTTCTATTTCTTTGCTGACTTTTTGTCTAGTTGATCTGTCTCTGTCACAATGGGGTATTAAGGTCTCCTGTTATAATTGTGTTCTTGTGTATTTGGCTTTTCATGTCCACTAATATCTGTTTTATATAGTTGGGTGCTCCTGTATTTGGTGCATCTATATTTATAATTGTTAGTTCTTTCTCTTGAATTTTTCCATTAATGAGTATGTAGTGACCTTCTTTATCTCTTTTGATCATTTTAGGTTTGAAGTTCACGTTGTCTTCAAACAGAATAGTTACCGCTGCTTTTTAATGGGTTCCTGTTGCATTAAATACTATTTTGCATCCTTAGACTTTTAATCTATTAGTTTCCTTTCCTTTTGGGTCAGATGTGTTTCTTGTATACAGCATATTGTGGGGTCGTGCTTCTTGATCTATTCCGTCAACCTATTTCTTTTGCTAGGTGTATGGAAGCCGTTTACATTTTTGGATATCATTGATACGTACTGGCTCGACCTTGCCATGCTATATTCCAGTTGTTTGCTTTCTGTTTTTCCCCATTGTTCAATTGCTTGTCCTACCTGGTGGTTTCTTTCTGTTGTTGTTTTTGGGATTGTGGTCGTTTTTATCTCTATATAGTAAATCTTTCCATACTCTTTCTAGGGTTGGTTGGTGGACATGAATTTCTTCAGTTGTTCTTTGTCATGAAAGTATCTTGTTTCTCCATTAAATAGGAATGAAAGTTTTTCTGGATACATCAGTCTGGGTTGAAAAGTGTTTTCTTTCCGGGCTTGAAATACCTCATTCCAAGCTCCTCTTGACTTGAGGCCTGTGCTGAAAAGTCTGCTGTGATTCTAATGGGCTTTTCTTGATAGGTGAGCTGTGTCTTTTCTTTAACAGCTTGTAGTATTCTGTTTTTATACTGTATGTCTGAGATCTTAATTATTACATGTCCGGGTGTAGATTTATGTTGGTTATGACTGTTTGGCATTCTATATGCCTCACTTCTGTGCATATCAGATTTTTTCCCCATGTTTGGGAAATTTTCTGCTATTAGTTCTGTATTTCACTTATGTTATTTACATTGACTCCTGCATCATCAGTGATGCCCACTAATCTTACATTGTTGCTCTTGGCATCATCTTGAAACTGCTGGATTGTCATTTCATTTTGCTTTGTTATTTTTAAAAGTTCTATCCTTTCATGATCGCCAATTGTGATACTGTCCTCAAGGTCTGAAATCCTGTCCTCAGCTTCATTTAAACTGTTCTGCCAGCTCTCAATAGAATTTTTTGTTTCTTGGATGTCTCTTTGAGTTTGTCTCATGAATTCTGCTTGTTTTCTATATTGCTCATTCAAGATTTCAATCAGTTTCCCGTGCTTCTGTACTTTTTCCTTTATTTCTTCCTTAGCTGTCCTCAGCAGTTCCTTTACTAAGGTGGTTATTTCTATCTTTACATGGGAGAGTACTTCTAATTTAATTTCCTTTATAGCCTCATGGAGTTGTTTTTTTATTTCACTCGCCATCTTTTCAGAGATTTCCAGTGTGTTACTTTTGGAGTCCTCTATTTCAGTGTCTCCTGTACTTGCTCCTGGTGGACTAGATGTTTGAGATTGCATTTTGCTTTTCTGTTTTGCCATTTTCCCCTTTTGAGTTAATATTTGGTCCTTCAATCCCACTAGTGTCAACTGTTGGTAGTGTGTATCTTGGGGTCCTACTATAAGGCTGTTTGTCCAGTTTCTGGGCCCCACAGTGAAGAGGTGGGCCAGTCACCTGACTTCCCCCTGCAGGGCCTGTTGGGTGAGTCCTGTATTCTTCCTGGGCTGACAAGCCTGGTAGTATTGATGTGGGTCAGCTTTTAGTTCTGCTATTACTTAATCTTCAGGTTATTCCAGGTCACCAGATCTCCCTGTCTATAGTGTTTGTGTCAGGTGAGGCCCTACTGTGTCCCTGTTGTGTGCCTGTGTGTCTCATAAGCCCTTTTGACTTTCTCCAAGTTGGGGGAGTCCTTATTGGCACACTCCTCACCCTGCCTGATGTTTTCTGTGCAGGAAGGCGTCACCCACACTCTTGCTGGACTCACCAAGCTGTTACAGTTAGTTGGAGGGAGCTTTACTCCTGGCCCTGTTTACCCACTGCGCACCTCTATTTTAGGGGCATACTCACCACACTGACTGGAGCCTGCAGAGATCTTCTGTTTGAGTGAGGCAGTCACTGAATCTCCCTTCAAGCTAGCACAGTTAATGTGCTGTAGTCCAAGGTTCTGGGAGAAAGGGTCAGAGCTGAAGGTCAACAGCAGTATTGTGTCCAGGAGGTAGGGAGTGTCCCTGAGGGGCCAGCAGATGTCCTGGGTCTGGGCATCACTGGGCACGGGCCAAGATCCCGAGGCAGCGTGGCATTCCTCAGTGCTGACTGGAGTCACGCAGGAAGTGGGTGGCTGTACAGGCCAAGATCTGAGGGCAGCCCGTGTTTTGTGGCATCGCAGCCAAGATCCCAAAGGCAGCGTGGTGTTCCTCACTGCGAAACGGGCAGCTGTGCGGGCCAAGGTCCGAGGGCAGTACTTGTTCCCCAGGGCCAGTGAGAGTTGTGCAGGAAGCCTGTGGTGGCCAGACCAAGGTCCCAGGGCAGCATGGCATTCCTGAGTTCCGGCTGGAATCAGGCCTATTTCTGGGTTTTGAGAGATGCTTCAAAGCTTCCTCGGTGCACTGGGAATCACCTGGCCCACTTTTGGCTCCTGAGGCAGACTGCTGGCAACTGCGTGCCACCTGGAGCTCACTGGGTGTGGGCCAGTTTGGCCCATGGAGACTCCAGGGAGTCCGTGTGTCCTTTGGTGATTAGATGCAGGGCATGATCTTACCGCCGAGAGCAAAGTTCCAAGTTTTCCCATGTGCTGAAATTCAACTGGCATGCGGTTAGGGCCGGGGACTGGATCAGGGCCCTGCTGGCTGCTTGGACGTGGCCGGGTGTCTGTATCACTCATTTTTGAAAACACACCGTTTCCAAATCATCACGTGAACGTTTTGCTCACTAAGTGCCAACAAAGCCAGTTTTAGGTTTGTCTGAGAGGCCTTGTCCTGGTTATACCGTGTAGACCGTGTAACAACACTTTTGAGAAATGATCACAGCAGAGGAGTCATAATGACTGGTCTCAGGACGCTGCTCCCAAGAACAGTGTTTTAACTTAGCAAGCCCATTTTCTGTGTCAGTGGAGAATGCTGGCACCTTTGTGAACAGTTTCTAATTGAGCAGTTTGCTTAAATTCTTTCATCAAATCATATCCTTGATTTAATTTGCTAACGTGAATCAGCCAAAGATAAATTCCTACTAGAAACCCAGGAAAACTCAAGTTAGCACTAGGTGATTTGAAAAATATCATGGCAAATGTACCTTGGCGTAATATAATTGTTTTATGTTTTTTGGTCTGTTAGTCTGAATGTCAGTCTACGTATATGACAAGTAATTTGATAAAGTCTTCAAAATAAATCAATAAAGTTGATCCTAGCCAGAAAGAGAGAGAGAGAGAGAAAGAAAGAGAGAGGAGTATCAGCAGTCAGTCCACAATAGAAACAAAGCCAGGCAGAAGTCACCCTGGTGAGCCTAACGATTGACAGCCTGTATGTCGGTCCTGTCCAACGCTTCAGCAGCCAGTGGGATGAAGCAGGAGCCCCTTTGCAAGACTCGGGGCCCCTGGGGACAGGAGACGGCCTGGCAGTGAGGCTACAGCCACACACATTGCCGATTCTCCCACCCTTCCCCATCCACGCAGACACCCTTGCACTTAGCAGTGATCACGAAGCAGGAGGACGTGGTAGAGGACCTGCTGCAGGCTGGAGCGGACCTGAGCCTGCTGGACCGCCTGGGCAACTCTGCACTGCACCTTGCTGCCAAGGAGGGGCAGGACAAAATCCTCAGCGTCCTGCTCAAGCACCGGAAGGCGGCGCTGCTGATGGACCAGCCCAATGGCGAAGGTAGGAGGCCGCCTCCGGTGCAGCCTGCTCTACTCGCTTTGTAAGTCTCGGCTCAGCGCTGGCCACTGAGTTGTCTCCTTGGTCACCTGGCGTTGGCCGTGTCCAGTGTCCTGCCATAGCGCTTGCCCTTCACGGTGATTTGAGACAGTTACTCAGGAATGAAAGTGGAGCCCCATTTGTGACACTCCGTGCTTGGTTGCAGGTCTCAATGCCATCCACATTGCCGTGACAAGCAACAGCCTTTCCTGCCTGCTGTTGCTGGTGGCCGCAGGTGCCGACGTCAATGCCCAGGAACAGAAGTCGGGGCGCACGGCACTACACCTGGCAGTGGAGCAGGACAATGTGTCCCTGGCGGGCTGTCTGCTGCTCGAGGTGATCATTTCAGCCACGTTGGCACTGGAGCAAATCCGGGCTGGTGGCTTCAGCTGAGTTTAACGCTCTGGCTTTGTGCATCCCCTTCCCCACCCAGCCGCTGTCCTTGAGGCATCTACAGCCTCAAGGAGCTGGGGTCGTGCAGATGGGAGGAGGGGGCAGTTCAAGGAGCTGGGGTCGTGCAGATGGGAGGAGGGGGCAGGGCGAGCAGCCCGCTGATCTTTCATGTGGTGGATCTAGGGTGAAGCCCATGTGGACAGCACCACCTATGATGGGACCACACCACTGCATATTGCAGCCGGGCGAGGCTCCACCAGGTTGGCTGCACTGCTCAAGGCTGCAGGTAAGGGGCTGGGGTCTCAGTAGACAGTGCAGCCCCCTGGCAACCGGGGCCATGAGAGAGTGATAGGTGCTGATGTCTTGGGTGTGACCATCACATGGCCTGCCCTGGACTTGCAATCCCGCTCCACCACCACAGCTGAGTTCACTTCCACGCTGATTCTGCAGTTCACTTCGGGTTTGGGCTGCTCAGCTCGACTCCCAGAAGAAATTCTTGCAGCAGAGCTCAATTCTGAGCCATACCAGTCTCTGCCTGTGTCACAGTCCCCAGGGAAGCAAACCTCTGGTGCAGACACAGAGCAGACAGCGTGATGGCAAGTCACCAAATCTGGTCCTTCCATCCCTGCACCTCCCACCTGTGTGCCGAGCCTCCAGGGGTCTCCCCTACGTCTCCCACCACGCTCAGGGCTGAGGGTGTCTGCTGGTTGGCCTCTGTGCTGTGGGTGTGGAGAGTCACTCTGCTCACCTCTGAGTCACTGTGACTTTGGGTTCAGAGAACCTCCATGCTGTTCTCACACACCTGACCTACTGATTTTTGTTTTGAAGTTTTTAGAAGGTGAATGCTTCATAAATCCAAGATCAGAGCAGAGCGTGGCACCATCTCACACCTGGGGAAGTTTTCCCCTCAAGGGGACCCTCTTTTGCTGACCTGTAAAATTAGATTCTGGGTCAGCAGCAGACTTTTCCTCTCTCCTCTGTCAAATTCAACTTTTGTTGGCTGGGAGGGTTGCGGTCTCAGCACACCTGACCCATTGTGGAAGTCACTGGTCACTCTAAAGAAACGTCCTCGGCCCAGAAGCAGGAACCCCTCTGTGAAAGTGGTCCCTTGTCAGTCATGGTACGCACACCTGACAACCAGAGCACTCGGGCAGAGGCAGGAAAATGGTCACAAGTTTGAGACCAGCTTGGGCTACGTAGCAAGACCCTTCAGTGAGCCACAAGAACCAAAGGCTCTCCCTTGAATTCTGAGACTCTCCAAAAGGCACAAGTGGCAGTCCCTCTAACATAAACAAGAACACAAATATGCAGTCCTGAGCTCAGTGTGGTGGCCATCACACCAGCAGCAGAGGCAGCTTAGCCCTCTCATCCTGAAAGGGGGTGTTGGTCTATCCTGGTCACCTGGACATGACCCCACGCTGCCACGGGAGCCATGTCTGAGCAGCCACTACCCTGACGTACACATCGGGTCTGCTGGTTTCTGGCTGGAAGCTGAAGAGCAGGCTGCAGCTCCCGAGATTCATCTCTGTCCCAGTAGTACACATTGTCCCACCACACGGGCTTGTCCTGTGTCCCCAGGAGAGAGCCGACAGTGCTGTCACGGGACATAGTGGGCAGGGAAGAGAGGGAGATACAGCCATTACAGGGCAGATCTACACAGGGAACTTACTCCAAGGGCATCCTCGTCTCTGCCAGCTGCTGTCGCCTGCCTGGTCCCCAGGTGCAGAGTTAAGGTCACAGTGCTTAAAGCCTGGCTTTCAGTGTGTCCTGGGCACTCCAAAGTATCCCGAGACACCTCTAAGCCAAGCTAAATCCAAATTTAGGAGGAAGCGTGTGGGTGTTCAGTGGAAATGTCGTCAACACCAGAAACGGCCCCGCGGTCACCTCCAGTGACTGAAGTGATTTACCTTGGGGCATCTGACTGCTGCTGCTGGTTGGGAGTGAGGGAACGGGGTCCCTGACACTGTCCCTGGCTTCACAGGGGCAGACCCCTTAGTGGAGAACTTCGAGCCCCTGTACGACTGGGATGAGTCCTGGGAAAGGACCGGCGAGGACGAAGGTGTGGTGCCAGGGACGACGCCACTGGACATGGCGGCCAGCTGGCAGGTGAGTCCTGGGCAGGCCGAGACTGGGCTATCAGCTGGCTGTGAGCACAGTGCACAGCAGAGGGGCCAGGCCCGAGTGCGAAGATCACACAGCAGCTCTGTGCTGGGCATCCCGTTTCTGAGCGAGCAGATGCAGCTGAGAACAAGGACGAGGCACACAGGACCAGCGGGAGCCTGCGGGGGTCTGTAAATAAGGGGAAGAGGGACTAAACCTTCCTCAGGGACCTGAACTGGGGTTGGAATGGAGAGGCCGTTGCTGAGTCTTTGAGGGGCAGGTGTCTGCACACGGGGCTCCCACACAACAGGTTCGGTGCCCTCTGGGGGGAGCTCAATGCCACGTGTGGAACCTGCTGGTGGCCCAGACCACAGGGCTCCTCCTTGACCCGTCTGTATCCTCCGTGACCCAGCCATGGGGACCTCAGAGACACCAGAAAGACCCAGAGCTGGAGAGCTCTTAGCCTGACATCTGCGGGATGTTTCTCCACCCAACAGGTGTTTGACATCCTAAACGGGAAGCCATACGAGCCCGAGGTCGTGGCCGATGACCCCCTGGCTCAAGGTGCGTGGTGTGGGCAGTGTGTCATGCAGGGCAGCGCGTGGCCCTGGAGGAAGGAGGGGTTGCCTGCTCTGGGTCCCTGACCTAAGTCGCAGCTGTGTGCTCCGGGAGGTAGGGGTCGGTGAGGGTCAGGACCAGCGTGACCTCCTCGTCTCCGCAGGGGACATGAAGCAGCTGAGCGAGGAAGCCAAGCTGCAGCTCTACAAGCTGCTAGAAATCCCCGACCCGGACAGAAACTGGGCGACGCTGGCACAGAAGCTGGGCCTGGGCATCCTGAACCACGCCTTCCGGCTGAGCCCTGCACCAGCCAAGACCCTGATGGACAACTACGAGGTATCGCACTCCCTGCCACCGAACCACCCGGCTGGGCCCCTGTGCTCACTTCATGGCCAGGACAGTCCTCTCCCAGATGGTGGGAAGAAAACCGCTCCCTGCCCAGGCAGGAGAGGACAGGGAGGGGACTCATGCTGTCCACTCATCTCCGGTGTTGAGACACCCGTTTCCAAATACACATGAGGATGCCACCCATGAGACCCCAGGGCTGTCACTAGGCCCGACCCCCAAGCATGCATGGTAGATTGTCCCTGAGGGTGCCCTGGCCATGGCCAGGGATGAGGACTCATCCTGGAGATGACCCAGCCGAGCCACTGCCTCAAGGTCCCCACAGCTAAAAATAAAGGCGGAAACACACAGGGCAAGTTATTTTCTGTTGAAAATGCCATTGTTTGCTGCTGTCTCAGAGGATTCTAGGGCTTTAGCTCGCACAGAGATGCGGTGGGAACCGCGGCCTGGGTACCCTCTCCCTCTCTCTCCCTGTCCAGCTCACTCACTTGCTCTCTCTCACCGTCTCTCTCTCTGACTTCTTCCCTCCTCTCCTCCCCTCTCCTCTCCTCTCCTCCCCTTTCTATCTCTCTGTCTCTCCCTCCTTCCTCTCCCCTTATAGTGAACCACTTCTCTGTGATTTTCTGTTTAGAGGAGCCAAGGCAGGAATCTGGACAGAAAGGCTGTGTGTCCTCGTCGCCCTCTGTGGCCCTGCCCATCCTGCCTGGCTGCGGGTGTCCTGGGGAGGGACACGGGCCGAGCTCTAGACAGTGCTTCCTCTCTCTCCAGGTCTCGGGAGGCACCGTCAAGGAGCTGCTGGAGGCCTTAGCACAGATGGGCTACACGGAAGCCATCGAAGTGATCCAGGCAGCCTGCTGCGGCTCAGGGACCCCCAGCTCCATGAAGGGTACCACGCAGGCCCCCCTGCTGTCCCTGTCAATATCACCGCAGATCGGTAAGGGGACGCTGGGTGCAGCGGGGTGTTCCCGCTCCCTGCTGGTGTGAAGTTTTGGGTCTCAGGATGTGCAGAGGGCAGGGCTGTCCCCACTGTCGCCCTCTGCCCCTCATCACAACCTTGCTCACAGGCGACTGACACGGACAGGTGAGCTACCTAGATTCCCGTCGGTGCCGCACCCAGCAGGTCCTGCAGGGTGAGGCAAACCCACTCTCACTGAAGCAGAGGGACTCAGAGAGGGCACAGTGGAGGGCTGGGGACCATGCCAGACCAGAGCAGCACCCCCAGTTACCCCAGGGACCTGTCCTCAGGGTCCTCTGCATGCTCAGAACACTGACCTGCCCACCACCAGTCACCCCACGAGCGCACATCCATCTGGGACTGGTTCCAGCCACTATCCGGATCCTGCGTCTCCTCCAGGCCTCTGCACTCTAATAGCCCTGCACCCCTGTACCCTTCCCTGGTCCTCATCCTGTGCCCTCGCCACCGCACCCTCAGAAACAATACAGCTGCAGTCTCATCTCTGCCACCAGGGCTCCGCCAGCCCCTCCTCACCCTGCAGGTTAACCCAGCACCTGACCAGTTTCCTCATCTGTAAAACCAAATAGCCAGGTGTGGCAGTGCACACCTATACCCCAGCACCTGGGGGACTGAAGCAGGAGGATCACAAGTTCAAGTCCAGCCTGGTGAATTTAGCATCTTAATGAGACCCTGTGTCCAAGTGAAAAGTTTAAAAGGGTTGGGGATGGAGCTGAGTGTGAAGGCCCTGGGTTCAATCGCTAATACTGAAAACAAAAATGGAAACAGAGAAATAATTCACTCCCCTTTGGCCCTACACCCACTTTAGCTACAGTGTGTCTCTGTTCATCTACACAGCAGAACTTCTCAGAGAGCACTGCAGAGCCTCCTCACCGCTCAGGAGAGCATTCTAGAACCTCCTCATTTCTCAGGAGAGCACTCCAAAGCTGCCTCGCCTCTCAGGAGAGCATTGTAGAGCCTCCTCACCGCTCTGGAGAGTGTTCCGAGGCCTTCTCACTTCTGGCCCTTACTGGGCCCCTCAGTCAGGCCTCCAGCCCTGCCTCCTTCACACACACCAGGGTTCCTTTCTCAGCACGGAATCACACCGGCCCCCACTCCACCGGTCCCCTTGCATTCCTTTTCATACCATCCCCACACTTGCCTCTTACAGCCGCAGCCTCCTGCGTCAAGTCCGAGCCCAACTGACTTCCCTGCACTGAGCTCGAACTCAATGCTGGCTATACCTGTGAGAAGTAGGGCTGTCCTCGGGGTTAGAACAGACTCCGAGAATCCACGTCCCCGCCCACTTGCATCCACATAAAATGAGAAAACCCACTGAAAGGAGGTGAGGTTTATTGTTGGCTCAGGGTTTCCGAGGGCTCTGTCCATGGTCAGCTCAGAGGCAGAACCATCACGGCAGAAGAGAGGGGGCGTAGCAACAAGTCGCCGCCCTTCCAGGTCCCCACCCTAAGACCCTCCTAGCTGCCCCTTCATCTGTGACCTTGTCCTGAATTTGCCCACGAGTGTGGTCAATGCTCTGTGGCTGTCACTTCCCACAGCCCCTCTGGGGAGCTCAGGAGCCTTTGCAGGGATCTTCAGTCCACACTGCATTTCCGGTGCACCTTCCTGGGCCAGGTCATCTCCCCACCCACCCACCCAGTATAGTACTTAGCCCTCCTCCAGGGTGCCCTCCCCACAACAACTCCACCTGGACCACCTGAACTCCTCCTTCCCTGCCTGGACTCCTCCTCCTCGGTCTCTTCCTTCAGCCCATTCTGCACAGTGGTGCGATTGTGTGTGTGTGTGTGCGCGCGCGATTGTGTGTGTGTGTGTGGTGCTGGGATTGAGCCAAGGGCCCTCACACTGGATTATTTTGATACAGGCTCTCACTAAATTGCCCAAGCAGGGCTTAAATTCAACATCCTCTTGCCTCAACCTCCTAGAGTCCTAGGATTAAGAGACATGTAAACCACACCCAGTGGTGTGATTTCTTTTTCCAAGTTAGTGGGCTGATGTGACCTGTCATGTGCTCTCCACACATAGCTCCTTGTCCCACACGTAACAGCCTGGCACCATCTGAAGGTTGGGGAAAGCCACCCTTTAAATGTTGCCCTTGTATGCTCCCAGGGTCACCAGTGTCACCCAGCCCTGGGAAGCTCCTCACCTGCCTGGCTCCCTGTCAAGGTCACCTTGTCAGGGAGGCTCTGGGGGAGCAGCATGGTGTCGCCATGCACTTGCAGGAAGGGGGAGTGTGCCTCCAGGACTCGACTCAGGGCTCAGGCTAGGCCTGGTGCTCTTGGAGTGCAAAGTCTCAAAGAAAACAGTGAATGCTGACAGCTCTTCTGGAAAGCAAACACTAAGCCTTTAATGTGTAATACTCTCGGAACACCTCACAGCACAAAGGAGAAGCTACATTAAGACTGGTTAGTGGGACAAATCCATGTTAAGACAACAGGCATGGCACTGTCATGAAAATCCGAATCCCCCCTACTGGGATGTGATGTATCAGCCTCTCATTGACTCCAGATGGGTCAGCTTTGGACTGCTGTTTTCCTGGCTTCCCCTTCTATATAGGAAATAATTCCCATTGGTCAGATCCCTAAGGCCAGTTGGCAACAATGAGAAGGCAACATCAGTTTCTAGGGTAGACTCATTTTCATCAGAGCCATTTCTGGTTTTTTTGTACTGGGGATCAAACTCAAGACTTCACGCTTGCCAGGCACTTATGCTGTTGAGCTAAATCCCCAGCCCATCTTATTTTCAGGAGACCAGAGTGGCTTCCCTGCTTCCAATGTATTTGCGAATGTTCAGCCACTTCCCCGGTGCGGGGACACACAGCTGATGCAAAGTGAGGAAAATTCAGGCCGTGTCTGGTACATAGGGAGCGGGATTGTCAGAGAGATGAAAACCGCCAAAAAGGGTCTTTTTGGATATTATAGTCCCAGGCACGTCCTGCCCAGTGCCAACGTGGACAACGCTGGCAGTCGGCATAGGCAGAAGGACAGGGTGGGTGACAAGTCCTGCACATGGTGCCCAGCCTCCTCCAGAGCCACACCGAAGGCCGAGGTCCCTGAGTTTCTGCTCTCTCCCTACAGATGAGCTTCGAGACCAGGACAGCATCTGTGACAGCGGCGTGGAGACCTCCTTCCGCAAGCTCAGCTTCACGGAGTCTCTGACGGGCGGTGGCCCCTTGCTAACACTTAACAAAGGTTCGCCCGAATTTGGGCAGCAAGGACCCATAGAAGGCAAGATCTAGCTGCCTCCATGGCCGCGCCATGCAGCCGAAGCCCAAAAGCTCAGCACCTTGCCCAAGAAATGGAAGACCGGGTGTCCAGAGGCACTCAGTAGAGAGGCGACCATGATCATCAGGCCACCGCGGGCCTCTGAGCGTGGCCACCCCGGGTCCTTCACTGAGTCCAGGCTGGGTCCCGTCCAGGCAGGAAGCCCCTGGCAGGCATGGCCCTCGAGGAGCCGACAGTGTTCCTGGGCGAGAGGTGCATCGATGTCACCGCTGCCGCCAGGTCACAGCTGCTTTCTGCTCCATCGCTGCTGCTGCTGCTGCTGCTGCTGCTGCTGCTGTCGCTCTGTTGTGTCCCCAAGCCCCTTCCATGGCCTCCCGGTGCCCTTCTTGCCATTGACAGTTGGTGCACTCAGATACTAAGGAAGGAGGAATCTTTAGATGAGTCGCTTGGTGTGCAGTGAAGGAGGGCCGCACATTTCCCAACGTGCCATCGCTGTGATTCGCAAAGCACGCACTTAGCAATATTTAAACATGGTTCCAATCAGGGCTGAAAGTGGTATCCCCCCGCCCCACCTTTTTCTGCATTTTGGTATTGTAAATATGTTTTTTAGACCAAATACTTTAAAGGAAAAATGTTGGATTTATAAATGCTATTTTTTATTTTACTTTTATAATAAAAGGAAAAGCAAATGGTTGACCTCATGGTGTGATCTCTGCAAAATACTTCTCTAAGATGCCGTCTTCTCAAGTGGAGGCGCAGCCTGGCTCACACAGTCACATCCCTCTTTAGACTTGTTTTTTTGATCTGGAAATAACAAAAAAAAGGAAAAGGAAACCCAAGGTGAAAGCTTGCCCAGGGCTGGCCCAGATCCTCTCCCGTGGACCCCAATCTCTCTGAGGCGAGAAGCGTTGAAATATACCTGGGCCGGGGGCCTGGGGAGGAGCCTTTCTGCAGGAAGCCGTAATGAGCTGCTTTTCCCCAGGGGCTGGAAATTAGGAGGAAAGAAATCTCGCTTAGGAATGAGAGGCAAAGGTACACACCACCTGTGCAGCCCGCTCCCCTCGTCTGAATTGTAGGACTGCTGCGGTGGTGGAGTGCGAGGCAAGTGCTCCCACTGATCACCTCCCCGCCCCGGACTTCGCTAACAAGCCCTGGCTGCCACTGCAGAGCCTGTGTGCCCAGCTCCGAGGCAGCCTCCGCACAAGCCTCGTCCTGTGGGTGGAGGAGAGCCATGTGGGCCCAAGGTCCCTGCCATGTGTCTGTTCACCCCCTCCACAGCTCTTAGTCTCAGGGTTACTCCAAATAAATATCCCTCACCCCAGTCTCCATCTCAGAGGACCCAGCCTTCCCAGATGTTGGGAATCATGCAGAACAATTTTGCACAACATCATTAAGTCACTTCTTTAATCAAATGAACGGGATATGGAGATTTATCCCCAGCTTACAAAGCAGAAAACTGAGGCTTAGGGTTCAAAGCAGACTATCTGGCTTTATAGCCGTTCTGGCCAGCTCCTGAGCTCATGGACTGGGGTGCTGTCTTGGTAGGATACAAAGGTAGATAAAAATAATTGAGTCCAGAAGTCCAGAAGTAAACTCCAAAATACACAGGAGTGCATTATACGATCAATGAATGAGAAAATACGGTTATTCAGTACACAGATGTCCCCGGTAATGAGTCAGCTGGAGCAGGAATTGTGAATAAAGAGACCTAAAGCAGAAACAGCCCTGCTAAGTCAGGCTTTACTCTATGCTGGGAAAACAGTTTGGGTTCTGCAGTTTACAGTGTGTCACGGACTCCTCGTTTGGCTGGATTCTGTTCCCATGACAAGGTCATTCAGTGACTTGGTTGCTACATGAGGAAATTACATTACACTGTGCACATTACAATATTCAGAACAAAGAAATGGCCAGAGGAAACTCCAACTTGGTGACTTTGCTTTTTATTTATATCGCCCTTACATGCAGTACTGTAATATATAAAAGAACATAAAACTACAGTACTGTACTGGGCAGTATGGTCAGCAGAACTTACAGTACCGCACTCAGAAGAAGCCACCCTGAGGCCCCGCCGCTCACCTTCCCATGGTCAGCTGGGAGGCAGGTCAGAAGTCCGAACCCGCTACACGGGTGGGTCAAATCAGGACTGTTGTAAATAAAATCTTTAAGACATTCTACTGTTCTCTACGTTGGTTTCTATGCGGAGATGGTCCTGAAAATGAGAGTGGCTGATAAAAAGAAAACGATAGAGACAACTATGGGATGGGGGTGGGACTGGTCTCCAGGGCTGAAGCCTGGATTACAATTTTCTCTGGACTTCTATTAGAGTCTTCTCTTACCAAAGAACAGAAGCCAGGGAAATGGAGGGGTGAAGTTCAGGTAATTGAGATCTTAATTGTTCACCCCAGGGGCCATCTCTGGCTATATCTGGCTTTTGCGTTTATTGTTCTTTTGCACACCTTTTAGCAAAGCATCTTGTGCTGGCCCAGCAGCATTCCACTGAGACTAAGGTCCCACATTCATTACCGCAAACACGGTGCATGTGTAAGATCTCCTCCAGATGGATCAGGGCCTAGCAGAGCGCAAAGCCCCTGGGGTAACCTTAGGCCAAACTAGTTTAAAATCATCTGTGACTCAGCTTTCTATTCCCTTGCTATTTTCTTCACCCCTGTGATTCTAGTTTTTTGAGAACTGCTTCTCTAACACTGTCTTTGTCACTTACTTGTCACTGGAACCGATAAGCAACATCCACACTTAAAAGAGGTTTATTTGGGCTCACAGTTTATAGAGGTTTCAGTCCACTGTCGCCTGACACAGGCAGACAGCATGTGGAAGGGTCTGCTGGCTCCCTAGGTGGCAGTTGGTCATTGTCCCTTGGGCCACAATAGGACCCTCCCATCAAGGAGACAAGGCTGCCTTCTCCCCTGAGAGTGTGGGTGTGTGTCAGGGGCAGGAGAGGGGCAAAATGACTTTCCAGCCTGGTCACAAAACATAGCACAACTCTGCCCAGCCCTGTGAAGTACCCTCTCCTCGAACCCAGCCACTGTGCTCTGAAGGAGCCTCGTGGCCACCTCCAGAAGCCAGCGCGTGGACCCCAGCATGAGCAGGAGCCCCAGCCCAAGGCCCTGTCGGCCTTCATGCTGCTGGGCTGTCATGGGACACAAGCTGTTTTGCGGCAAATCACAGTCCCATGACACTTGTGGCCCAGGTGGGTGGACTGTCCTCCTGGACAGCCCCAGGCCAGCATCCATTCTATACAGAAGCCCAGCTGGGAAGGAAGACAGACCAGCCCCCTCAGCTCCCCTCTCCAGCTGCCTCCCCGGCTCCCACAGCTTCCCCCCACCCCCCACCCCCAGAGCCGCAGAGTGCCCCGGAAGTGGAGGTCTGCAGAGCCACAGAGCACCTGGAGCGCCACCCGCTGGCTGCTCAGCTGGAACCTGCATAAAGACAGCTTCCTCAGAACCTGGGCATCTTTTAAGTCTCTGCCCTCAGAGGCCAGGCAGAACCAGACCTGCTCCAGATCCGGATTCACGTCCTCTGGAAGCACCATAGTGCTTTGGGTGCTCCTCACTGTCCAGTTCCCTGCAGTCCTTCTGGGGGGCACCTTGTGGGTTTTCACAGGAGAGCCCAGGCAGGGCATCTGACACAGTTGGAGGTCTCCAGTACTGATCCCGAAGACGCTCCTCCAGGGGCCACATCCAACCCCATGCTATGGCAAGGACAGGGAATGAGGCTGCACCGTGCACCCCAACTCCAACCCAGGGCCACCTGTCCCCTGAGGATGTCTAAAAGGTCCTTGGAAGAAAGGACACTGTCCCTACAAGAAAAAGGAAGAATGTACCCAGATCTACAGGATGGCAGCATCACAGTGCTCCAAGCCCAGCACAGAGCAAACCCGGAATGTGGCTAAAAGCACCTCCGTGACTCAGTCTCCCCTACTAAAAGCCCACATGCTTAAGCAGGAATCACTGCCTACTTCCTCCTTCTTGACCTGTACTTTCCAGGGCTGTTCTCTTTCTTCTTGTGTGTCCCCAAGAAGAGGACATGGGCAGCACAGGGCCGGACAGGACATGGCTCGAATGCCCATGACTTGGGCTAGATGGGATCTACAATCGCTTGCCTGAGGGCTGGGACTGGAGCATCATACACAAAGCCCTGGGTTTCAGTCCAGTACCAACAAATATGTCCATAAACAAATACAGGCACAAGTATAGTGGCACATGACTGTAATCCCACACTGAAGAAAGAAAGAAAAGAAAAGAAATAAAGAAAGAAAGAAAGAAAGAAAAAGAAAAAAGAAAGAATCTTGCTATTTTGCTCCACGCAGGAACTGGGTGACCAGTACACACTCGGCACTGGCCTATTTCCAGCCCCTCTGACCTCACAGCAGCCCCTGCGGGCCAGGGCTGACGGCTGCATCTCACAGGGGAAAAACCCAGGGCCTGGTGAGTGGGGCTGCTGCGCACAGCCACACAGCCAGGAAGCCTCGGCAGGAGCTTGGCCTGGAGGACGTTGCACTGGACGCTGGCCCTGCTGGGACCCTGGCCCAGGACCCAGGTACACTACCAGCCATGGGGCCATACTTGTTAATCAAATTATTGTGCTCTTCAAAACAAATTTAACCTGGCAGGTGACAGAGACTCCTATCTATTCCAGCCTAGACCTGACCTCACAGTGATCCTCCTGCCTCAGCCTCCTGAGTGCTGGGATTACAGGGGTGCACCTCATACCCAGCAACACCTGGCTTATTATTCCTTTTTACCACAAATGAAAAAAAATTAAACACAGAAGTTAAGTAGCTTCATTAAAGCTTCTTCACTGCAGAACTTCTGGGCAAACTCCCACCAGTACATGTCAAAGCTCACCTCCTGCGCAGCTGAAAGAGGCTGTGATGGAAGAGGAGGGCACCCTTCTCCCTGCAAGGCCCAGCCTCAGGCCCAGGGAAGAGCCCGGCTCCCCAGGAGCAGACTGGCGGCCTGCGCTCACTTTCCTTCTACACAGAACCCAATGTTTCCCTGGGTTAAGGCCAGCGCCTCCACCCAACGAGTCCACTCGCTGCCGGTCCAATTCCTGCCCAGCAATGCAACTGCCAGCACAGCAAACCCTTCTGAGTCTCGGCTGAGATCCCAAGGCTGCCCACTTACCAAGCGGACACGAATCCCCAGCACGACATCTGCAGCAGGATCCCCCCAGTCTCGCATGAGCATCAAGTTGGCAGTGCAATTTATAGTTTTTATTTCTAGGTAATTTCAGATCATAGAAAAACTGCAAAAATTTCACATAGCTTTACTCTCATTCACTATGTGTTAACATTTTGTGCCATTATGGTTCTTAACAAGGTAAAGTTGTAAACGTGATACTAAGTAATAAAAAATTTTAAAACAATGATAGTTCATCGATACAAAGGAATGATATAAATGCTTGAACATTACTCTGGCACCAGGGCTGACAAGCCTGCATCTAATTCGTTTCTTTGAGCCGGAAAACTCTGGATTTGGCCACATCTGAAGCCCACACACATTCTAGTATCACGACATCCAAAATTTCCAATGCCCACAGTGATTTCAATGCCAGCTTATTTTTCAGAGGGTCTCTCTAAGCGTCTTATGAAAAATAAATTATTATCACTAAGGCACTATTTTAAATTTTTTAAGGAGAACAAAACCCAACAGTACAAAACAGAATAAAGCCAATCAAAACAAAGCAGTGGGGGCTGGGGATTTAGCTCAGCAGCATAAGCACCTGCCTTGCAATCAGGCGGCCATGAGTTCGATCCCCGGTACCAATAAAAAAAATAAAAACTAATCAAAACAGCATTGAATAAAACAAAACAATACATCGGAACAAAACAATAATATTGGATTTCAAATACAAGACAGAAAGGAATCCCCCATACTTGCCACATTGCAAACTCATCCTAATAGATGCTTACACTACTGGCCTTGGTCCTACAAAGCCAGGCAAATGATACAAGCATTTAGCTGCTTTTGTACCTCATTCACTTGAGGGAAAGGTAATCTGGCTTCTCTTCCTGGGCCCTGGGCCCTGGTTTGCCCAAGGCATTATTTTATATAATCACTCAAAATAAAAAAGAATCTTATCCCCAAATGGTAACCAAACAACAACAGTCATCCCCTAAACAGTCTGGGAACAAAGAACAACGGGGCCGTCACCAAGAACTCTCTCTCTGAAGACCGAACCCCCAATGACCAGGTAATCCAGGGAGATTCTTCAGCAGGATGGAAGCAGAGGGGAGGGGAGGGGCTGGAAAGGAAGAGATGTGTCATGTGCGACACCCGCTATGGGCGTCATATCACGTACTGCAAACGAGCTAATAAAATCAAAAATTAAGAACAGTACTTCTCGATGCTGACTATGAAAGGTCTGCAGGAGCTCACAGCTCCCATGTGGCTCCCTACAGACCCTCCACTGTTCCCTTCCCACGCCTTCTGGAAAGGCCCCAGTGGCAGCACCTTCGGGGCTAACTCAGACACAGCCCGGGCAGGTCCAGGGACGCCCAGGTGCGGTTCCGCCTGAAGACCCCTCAGTAAATGTCTGTCAGGGAAGTCACACGAAGAGACTGCTGCAGGTCACTCTTGCTGGTAGGCGCCCACGGGTGAAAGAGAACAGTCCGTGTCTTCTCAGTCATAAGGAAACCATTGTCGCTGAACCTCCCCGGGATGCTTCCTACATCCAGCCACACGAAGGGCGCCACAGCCGACGTCTCCAGGTCAAAGGCAAAGGTGTCACCTCGCTGTGAGATGGTGGCCTGGAAAAAAGGAATTCCCGGGTGGGTGACGGAGGGGCCAGGAACCTAACACCAGCCGGCGGACATCGTGCACCAGGGAGGCGCCTCCCAGCACCTCCTCCAGCCGTGCTGAAGTTAGATACTTGAAAAACTGACTTCAGTCCGTGGGAAATGACCAAATGGTGATTTCAAACCAAGGAAATGCAAGGCTCCCAGCACTAAACAGAGCATTTCACAAGCACATTACAGCAATCTCTGATTGCTTTTCTCCAAGCAGGAAAGGACCCTGTGGCATAAGAGGGGTGGCTTTAGTGGCCTAACGGCACCTCTGGACCTGGCTACAGACAAGGCCACAGCTGACCTCAAGGCTCTGAAGCCTGTGCCATCTGAGTATGGGGCTGTGGGTGTGTGTGGACTGCAGGACAGCTTGTACCACGTGTGAATCCCACACAATCTGGGTGAGGTAGCTGCAGTGAGCCAGGAGGCTCATTTCACCTATCTGGCAATTCACACAGCAGAGGGTGCTGAGCTGTACCCCAAAGGTGCCACTGTGAGGACAGAGTCACAGTGTCCTGGGCATTCACCAGTGCTCCTGTCACTACACAGCTCGACATGCAGACATGGGGTGGGCAAAGAGGATGGCGAATGCTGACATTTAAAATGTTCATTATCAAAAAGGACACATGACCAAAAACGACCCCCAAACCCTCCCCTCGGTTCAGACACTGGTCACATCATCCTTGCAACCTCCAGAAGCAGTGCAGGAGTCCTCCTTCCTGAGCGTCTCCATGAGCTGCGATCAAAACCACAGCAAATGCAGCTGCCAGCTGTCATCCAGCAGAAGGTGGGTTGGGAAGACACAACGCTGTCCTCCTCCACCTCATTCAACGGGTCTCTCACCATGCATCTCTGGCTCTCCCCCAAAGTCAAAAAGACCATGAAAGGGGAACAGTTCAGGGAACGGAGGCAGCCACACAGCATAACTAAAGACACTACGGAATAGGACTTCGAGAACCGCTTCAGAAGCGGCAGGAGCAATGGGGCGTTTCGAGCAAGAGGGAGGATTCCAAGGGGACTCATGCCAACGTGTCTTTACTGAAATAATTATTCTTGGATCACACCTCATCCATGCTACGCCACAGGGTCTTTCATTATATGTTACATAAACTTCTTCAAAGGGCACTTTTTACTATAGATAACTCAGCCTGAAGGCACCTCTATGATTATCATTCCAGGACCTCAAGTTATAAAAAGAAAAGCTGCACTGATAGCAGCACAAAAGACATGTGACAAAGTGCGCTGGGGATACCTGCAGGGGCAAAGACCCAGCCTCGGGGTAGACGCTGAACCCCCAAGACGCCTTTCCCCTGCTGTCGTGAAGATGAGGCAGCCGCAGGGACAAAGCCACCCCGCTGCCCCGGCTGGCCCAGAGCCCAGGAGGCTGGGGCACCCCACCCCTCCTGCTGCTGGACCCTTGGCCTCCCGGAGAGGGGCAGCAAGTGCTCTGCCCACCCCAGCTCCGAGCAATGATGACAAACACCAGGGTTACTCTGGGATGAACAGGGCTAACCAGAACACAAGTGAGGAAAGACAAGAAGCCCTGGCTGAAGAAATAAGAAACATTTTCCAAGCCATCCAGTTAGAAACTAAAGCTCTGTTCAGTCACAGTGTTGCTTGTTTTAGTTTTCTCTTTCTGGGGAAAAAAAAGCTATGTAAGTGTACATTACCTCTTTCCTATCTGTTCTACCTCAGTCATTGCTGAGGACCTGGGCATCACTAGGTGAGTGTCTCACTACTAATTTGGGAAGAAGTATGTTTTCAGACCTTATGCCATTTTCAATAAAAAATCCTGCAAGGACAATGTGTGTTTATAGGATTATCTCTAAAGCCATTTTTAAGAAGCTTTCTCAATGAAATAAAAGTATAAAATGAATTTAAAAAACAAGTAAATTTGAAATTTATTACAAACAGAAAATGAGGGCCAGAAATATAGGTTTAGTGGCGCAAATGCCTGCCTGGCAATGAGAGGTCATGAGTTTGGGCCCTGGTATCCTCCTCCAAAAGAAAGGAATGTTCCAGAAAAATACTGTCACCTACTAGGTGGGAGAAGGAGAGTCAAGGCCCATGCCCTCCAGGGGCACAAGTTTTATAGCAGCACAGCCTAAATAGCTTGTTTCTTTCCTTGGCAATTACAGACATCTAGTGATTAAGACCAGGCACACAGTGCTTAACAGACCTCAAAGCTAGGGTGCAGGACCTCGAGCTGCCGATTAGGCTCAGGATGGATGGAGCAGAGGCTGGTACCTTGGGGCCGTCATGAAGGTCAGAGAGGATGCAGCAAAGCACCTGGTTAATGGTGCGGGACCCATGGGGTGCAGTCAATGTGAGGCTGGAGTGGCAAATGAACCCCTGGTCAAACCCTTCCAGCCAGTGAAAACCCTCTGGTGTGGCCCCCAGGCCACAGGTCACCCCAGCACCACGAAGGAGGTGTGCAGCTAGGATGCAGCCCATGTGTGGCCCTGGCTTACCGTGATGTGAGCCTTGAGCAGCCCCTCGGCGTCCTTCAGGGAGGACAGGAAGTGATAGTTGACTGGGCTCACAACCTCGCCGCCAGCTGAGAGATGGAAGGAGAGCACGCAGCCTGGCCGGGTGCAGTTCCCACACCTGCTCAGCAGGCGGGCCACCGGCTCACTGTAGAGACGGGTGGCGGCCCCGGCCTTCACCACCAAGGGCTCTGTGGTCTGGGCACACTGGGGCTGCAGGGAGCGCCAGGAGTGCACCGTCAGCTGTGGGAGGAAGCAGGAAGGGGCAGCACTGAGTGTGGGGACAGTCACTGCAGTGGAAGCAGCATGCCTGTGAGGGGACGGCAAAGCTGGGTCTTAATCCCAGGCTGCTGCATGCTGGTCCCGTGTGAGACTCCCCAGGCCACCCAGCCTAGGTTTCTTCACGTGGAAAGGAGACAGGCGCCCACACAGGCTTCACAGGCAGTGCTGAGAGCTGGAAAAGCAGCCACAGGAGGCCATGAGGTACCCCTTACATGGCCATCTCCAGGGTGGCCAGTGTCCTCCAGGGTGGCTGTCTAACACATCTTAAACTTGTGATAAATGGAAATTCATTTTTGAAACTACCCCCTTCCGGATCATCTCTCTGACTTCAACTTTAACAGACCGAGTCTAACCAGTTCTTTTTGTAAAGTTTGGACTGCTGCTTGTGTCTCATAATTATAAATAAGCTCACGCGTGTAAGCCCTTTGCAGTTACGTAACTGGGGTGACACACACTTCGTAGACACCTCCAGGGACAGACACCAGCTCGCCAAGCAGTCCTGGAGCACATGGCAGCACCTTAACCTGTCTGCTACCCAAAGCCTACTCTGACCCCGGGGACAGCACATTTTCCACCACAGGCACTAAAAACATTTGATACAAATTCATTTCCTTCCTGTTTGTCCCCAAAGCATTAAAGAGCTGACTTCCAACCCACTATGTCCAAGAGCAAGGGTCCTGGTGACTCACAGTGAGCGTCACATTCCGGTCCTCGTGCAGGTCGGATACGCCGTGAATGTAAATCACGTCCCTGTCCTCGAAGCCCACGGGCAGCAGCGGGTGGAAGAAATGCCTGGCGAGGTAGTGCAGCATCTTCCACTTGCCGCCGTACTCTGCGGACAGTGAGGAGCTCGGGGGTCCGGCCAGCTGGCAGAGTCCTGTCCCCGCCTCCCCACGGCCGGCCACGGGGCTGGCAGGAGTCCCCAGGTGAGGGAGCTGGAGGCCTACACACCGTCAGGACTCGGGCCTCCTGGCACCCTGTCCTGTCACTCCGGCCCTCCTTCATTTCCAGCCCAAAGCTATGATCTCACTCCTGTCTGCACTTCCCTCAGGTCACTCCAGGGGAAGGCCGAAGGTTCCATTTCTAACAGCTACCCCCAGGAGATGGGATCCCTCACACTACAAGCTCTGTGCAATCTCTCACCTGCTGCTCGTGAACCGGAAGGCTGCCGGCTCCACCAGCAGGCAGGGTGGATCTCTGACTCTATCACCCTCCTGCCACTGAAGTAAACAGTGTAATAAAGAAGAGCTTACAGAGCAACTGAGGCAGAGGACGGAGCACTTCAGCAGCTAAGTGGGCCGATCTTCCCTGGACACCTTTCCTGCACTGAAGTAGAGATGTTCACAGCCAAGCCCCCTCGGCCCTGGGAATGCCCTTTTATATATTCACATTCTATGCACTAATTGCAAGGCACATGGCTGGGACATCATGTCCAGATGTGACTGTGACTGCAGACGCAGCGCTCAGAGCCCCCTTTGGGGGTCAGGGTGTGGTGTCCAGTGATTGGTTAGGAGCCACCCTAGAGACTGAAGGGGCACCGCCCGTCTATATTTGGTCCTTGGCTCCTCTCTGCTTCCCAGCTGCCATGGGGTGAGCATCTGTCTTCTGCCAGCCCTTCGGCCTTGATGGATATGCCTTGGAGCTAGCTGAGCATGGCCCGAATCCCTGAGACTGTGAGCCAGACTGCACTTCTCCTCCTCTAAATTCTGGGTATTAGGTATTGTGTCCCAGTGATGACTAATATAAATGCCTGCTAAGGCCGAGGAGACATTGCTGACGTGAGGGGACTGCGGATCGCACACCAGATCCTACAGCCTCTTGGGCCCAGCTCTGCCTCGATTCATCTGACCCTTCAAGCTCTGTGCAATCTTAGTCTGACTCCCTTTAGGTCTTGCTTCTCTCCCTGATATAGAGGACACTGAAGCTCTTACCTAGAGAGGACCAAGAAGGAGCCGGCCAGATGTCATTCAGCTGCCAGTAGAGCGCCCCCATGGTGTGGCCCTCACCAGCCACTATCTCGCTACGGCTGCGACGGTAGAACTCGGTCTCTGTTTTGATGCACTGGGCCTGCGTCACCTGATCAAGGGAGACATCCACACACATAGCTGTTATTGTGAGACTAGGCTGTCCAGAACACACAGAATTACAGCATGAGGGGCTTTTTTTAGAGAAAACTGGATGCAATAGGGAATCTGATGAGCAATAGGAATTCAGCTATTATACTAGGTATGGACTAGCCGCTGGGAGTGACAGCAGCTGCTGTGGCACCAGGTCTGTTTGGGAGGCGTGGTGATGGATTTGTTGTAACAGAGGGTGATAGCTAGGTGTGGTGGCATATAGCTGTAATCCCAGTGCTCGGGAGGCTGAGACAGAAGGACCATCTTGAATCGGAAGCCAGTCTGGGATACATAGCAAGCCCCTATCTCAAAACACAAGTACCAAAAAATAAGTGACAAAAGGCCACCTTATGAATAGAAGCAATCACAAGGGGCACGGGCTGTGCTGAGGAGTCTCTGATGGAAACGGGGGTGCTAAAGTCATGCTTGTTATCCATGGTGAAGAAAGGCACTTGGCCCATGTCCAGAGGTTGAGGGAGGCCGAGTTAACAGGTGATGGATTACTTCAAAGCAGTGAATTTCAAAGCAGCAAAGCCCTCAGGGTGCAGGTTGGGCATCTGCTTTTAGCCAGATTTACAGAAAAAATCAGCAACCAAGAGCAGAAAAAACTGAAAAGTGTGAGGCTGGGCAGCACAGGAGCCGTGGAGGATACGGTCGATAATTCAGGTGCTCTGCACTGAGACAACAGCAAAGCAGCCTTCAGGCATTTCAGGGATTGGCAAGGTCGGCAGGTTCAGAGACACAGAACACCAGAACAATGATGCAATTTCCGTTCCGTGATTGCCCACAGTTTTGGTTCAATGATTCTCTTTTGAGAAAAGAACCCCAAAGTCCTTGCTCACCCCAAATCGCTCAGGCCAGCAAGGCACTCAGAGACCACTGCAGCCATGGCTCAAGCAGCCCAGGCACAGCTCAGGCCAGCAGCAGGCCCTGCATGGTCCACAAGACACAGCTGTCACAGGCACAAAATGTGAGGGTCAAAGGGTCATGGAGGCTTCTGGCTGGGGGGGCCAGGTGGTGTGCCGCAGGCAGAGTCCACAGGCTGCAGCTCCCGACAGGATGCAAGCAGAGCTGGCTGAGAGACAGCTAACAGTGGGCCAGCAGAAGCAGGGCTGTCCATGCCCAAGGAGCTCACATCCACCCATGGTGGGCCCTGGTGCTAGACATAGTGTTAGCAGTGCTGGGGTTTGGTCTTCCTTGGGTCTGATTCTCTGGTCTCTGTCATTGAGGGAGGACAGAGTTTCCTTGTTGAACAACCTGCATGTTTAACAGTTCTTCAAACTTACAACCTGCTGCTCACACTTAGGACCCATCTTTTTTTGTACAGACCTGTACATCTTGTTGATAAAGCCTAAAAGTCTCTTTTTGTAGAGTATCCCTTGTTTATGCAGTACTGTGACTTTTGCTGATGGTATTGTCCAGTACAGTCTCACTTTTATGTTCTGATATATGTTACAGCACTACATGTAAAAGTTATGCAAATAAAAGCAAAGTCTCCAACTGGAGCTTCCCGTGACCACCTCTTTGGTCTGAACGTTGTAATGCACAGACTGTATAACCTCCTGATTTAGCTCCAGTTCACTTAATGACCTCGTCGCAGGAATGGAACTGGTCATTAAATGAGCAGACTGTGTGTCAGTCGTTCTTGCACTTACAGATGCTCACAGCAGAGTCTGCCTCAAGCCCCAGAGGAGACCTGGACTTGGAGTTTTGAACAAGGCTGGAACTGTTAAGACTTTGGGGTTCTGCCGATGGATTCAGTGCATGCTGCACTAGGAGACAGACATGAACCCTTGGGGTGAGGGCCAACATGCTATGGTTTGGATGTGTCCCCCAGAGGTCCCCTGGAGAAGGCTGGCCCCAGCGTGGCACTGCCAGGTGATGAAAACCTCAAGCAGCAGGGCCTGGGTCACAGGGTCTTCCAGTCCCAGGGTGGCCTCTCCCTCTCTCCAGCACTCACTGCTGCACTCTTTCGATAATGTGCCAACCTGCATGAGCCATAATCCAATGGTGGCGCCAACAGATCACGGGCTGAAATCTCTCGGAACTGTGAGCCAGAATAACCCTCTCTCCTACGCCAGCTGACCAGCTCAGGTATCTGTTTCGGTGGCAGGAAAGGAGCAGGTACATGCAGCGTTAGCCACAAACACACAGAAGCTGCAGCTCACCGCACTTCTCAAAGCGAGGTTGTACAATCACAGTTCCTTAGGAATCTCTGGAGCTGTCGCGTTTCCTTTAAAAAAAAGTACCTGTGTTTACACACCACTCATGCTCTTTTTCTTCTTTCTTCTTCTTTTTCTTCTTCTTCTTTTTGTCTTTTTTAGACAGGGTCTCACTATGCAGTTCAGGCTGGCCTTGGGCTCACTTCATAGCCCAGGCTGGTCTGGAACTTGCAAAGATCTTCCTACCTCAGCCTCCCACTTGCGGGGATTACAGGACAGCACCACCACGCCCGGCTCCACACATGCTCTTCTAGAAGGCCAGACTCCACCACAGCGAATCTAGACATTGAGTCACTCCCTAGGTTACTCAGCTCCACCGCGAGCAGGTGCATCTTATTTTAAGTTTTTAAAATATGCCGCTTGCAGCAGCTTGCTAGATTCCACTCCCACAGTCAGCCTCTCCAAAGGGGTGTGAAGAGGAACTGGGCCATAGCCAGGAGGCCTGGGCCCCACGGCCAGCTCCGCCAGTGTCGGGTGCCTGGCTGTCTTCCAAGGCCCACTCCCTTGCTCAAAGTGACAGGGCTGCAGCTGTGCTGCCTCTGTCAGAGACAGACTTCCAACCCTGGAACCAAGAGCAGCCATATGACCAGTGCTTCCAATTTCTAGGCAGTTTATTCATTGTCCTGATAGTAAGAATTTCCCGAGAAAACAGTTTTTCAAACTGAAACATAAATCAGTGATCACACACAATTTGCCCTTTTAACATTTATGATTAACTGGTTGTTTCAGTATGCATCTGTTGTAAAAATCTTTCCGTCATTCATTTCCACAATATTCTTTTTTTTGTTGTTGTCTTTTTCATTTTCATTTTTATCGGTACTGGGGATCGAACTCACGACCGCCTGCTTGCAAGGCAGGTACTTATGCCGCTGAGCTAAATCCCCAGCCCCCTCCAGAATATTCTCATCACCTCGAGAAGAGCCCCACACTGGTTAGCTGTTACCCACTACTAGCCTTCTTCAGATGCCGAAAACCACAATTCTACTTTCTGAGTCTGGATTTACCTATTCTGGACATGTCGTGAAACTGGAACGTGAAACTGGGTCAATGCATGGCTTTTGTGTCTTTCTCCTCTCACTAGCACGGTTTTCAGACTCACTTGTGCTATTAGCACGTGTCCTCTGACTTTCTCTCTCTCCACACCACTGCACCCTGTGGGTGAAACCTTTGGTTTACCCATTCAGGCTGCTTCTACATTTTGGCTAGTATGAAAAATGGAGCTATGAACACTGAGCACATGTTTCTGCACGAACACAGATCTTGAATTTCTTGGGTATATGCTCACAAGTGGAGTGGCTGGGCAGTCAACTACACCCTGACGTTCTGAGGAGCACACAGCACATGGGTCACTTTACAGTCACACTAGCAGTCAGGAGGGTTCCACCACCGCACTGACACAAACACTTGCTTCCCTTTAAAAGAGATATTCTAGACAGTCCTAGCCAATGTAAGTGCTATGTGTGATTCTGATTTGAATTTTCCTAATGACCAATGATGCTGAGAAACTTTTCATGTATTTCTTGGCCATTGTCTCTAAAGAAATTTCTGTTCTGCCCATTCTGCCATGCATGATGGTGCATGCCTATAATCCCGGCACTTAGGAGGTTGAAGCAAGAGGATCGCAAGTTCAAGGCCAGCCTGAACTACATAGCAATACTCTGCCTCAAGAAAAAAAAAAGAAAGGAGAAGGAGGAGGAAGAGGAAGAAGAAGAAGAGGAGGAGGAGAAGGAAGAGTAAAGAAATATCTATTCAAAGCCTTTACTGTTTTTTAAATTGTCTTTTTCAACACTGAACTATAAAATCTCTCTATACAGCCAGGTCAGTAGATCCCTAGTGGGTGTAAATGACTTATGACTCTTTTTTGTCCCACTGTGTGAATATTCTTTTTACTTTCTTGATAGTGTTTTCCACAGCACCAGGGATTTAGCTCAGCAGTTTAAGCGCCTGTCCAGTAAGTACGACATAGTGAATTCAATCCCCAGCACCAAAAAACCAGTTTTCCACTGTGATGAAGAATACTTCATCTGTTTTTTCTGACCACTTATTCTTTAGGTATTCTACTTAAGAAACTCGCCTAATCAAAAGTCATAAAGATCTATACCTATGTCTTCCTTTAAAGATTTTATAGTTTTAACCCTTACATTTAGATCTTAGATCCAGTTTGAGTTCACTCTGCATACGGTATGAGACAGGGCTCCTAATTCACTCCTTTTCTTATAAATACCAGGCTGTTCTAACACCATATGTTGAAAGTGCTATTTCTTTCTCAATTTTGTTGAGCTGGGAGTGTAAATCACTATGGCTGTTACAGAAAACAGTATGGAGGCTCCTCAGAAGATTGAAAATAAAGTATCAGAGTATTTAGCTCAGCAGCATAAGCGCCTGCCTTGCAAGCAGGCAGTTGTGAGTTCGATCCCTGGTACCGATAAAAAGACAAAAAAAAAAAAAAAAAAGAAAGAAAAGAAAGCATCATATGCCCTAGGAGTTCCTACGCTGTCTGTGTCTGAAGGAAATGATATCAGTACGTGGAGGCCACACCTGCACTCTGGGCCACCACAGCACAGGCCACAACAGGCAGGACAGGGACTCACGCAAGTATCTGTCACCAGAGGAGCTGCTCATGGATGCAAAGGAGTGCTTCTAGTCTGCAAAACAAGGGCAATCTGGTCACTTGTGATAACATGGGCTAACCCAGAGGACAGCAAGTGAAACAAACAAACACAGAAAAAAGGACACT